GATGGCACATAACAACAACCACTAGGCCACCAGAGCTTCCTTATTTGAACAACTCTAATATTGTTGGGAACTCTGGTGTCTTAATGGCATTAAATTTCACATTCAGTGCAAAGATGAGCTGTTCAAATCACCAGCTGCACTGTGAGATAAAGACAGGCTGGCTTCCCTTAAGATTTATTTCCTCTGAAACCTTCTGGAGGATCTCCTATGTTCCAACTTGGTGATGTATAATAATAAATATGTAAGTATACACATTTTCTTTTTTTAGTTATTTTTTTTTAATTCTCTTATATTGATTTGCTTATAAAATTCTTATACATTGTATTTCACACTACTATTCATACTGTTCATTTGCATTGTGTTTCACACAATCTTTCCCATTCATTATTTTTTATCTAATTAATCACCATTGGATTTTACCCATTATTAGGGTGCCTTTTCGGGTCCTCACTGGATCTTTCACATTTCCTTTACCCACTCTCTCAATCCACCAAATTGTACAAATCTGTGATTTCCCCCTTATTCATTCTCACCCCTCAGCTCCCACCCTCTTCCCCCTTGAACACCCAAACATGTTTTGCTAGATATACTCTCCTATTTTTACAGTGATGATCCTATGCATTATTTCTTCTTATAAGACTTACATAAGACATTCTCTCCCAAGTTATGTAATATTTTTCAAAATTGTTGTTCCTGTATGCTGCATAGTATTCCATTGTTTGAATGCACCACAATTTCTCAACCTAATCAGTTGTGGTTTGACATTTGGGCTGTCCCCATATTCTTGGCAATGGTAAATAATGCTGCTATGAACATTGGTATACAAATATCCATTTCTTCCTCTCTCCTAATTTCCTTGAGGTCTATTCCAAGTAGTGGAATAGCTGGTTCATATGGAGTTTCTATGTTCACTTTTTTAAGGAAATGTCAAACTGCCTTCCAGAGTGGTTGTCCCATTGTATAATAACACTTACAGTGAATGAGAGTTCACACCTCTCCGCATCCTTGCCAACATTTATTGCTTGCTGCCCTGCTAAACTTTGTCACAGTTACTGGAGTGAGATGATAATCTTATTGAGATTTTGATTCATACCTCTCTTATTGTCAGTGATTTTGAGTATTTTTCTGTGTCTGTTGGCCATACGAATGTCTTCCTCTGTTAAAAGTCTTTCCATGTCTTTTGATTACTTTGTAATTTGGCTATCAATCTTTTTCTTCTGGAGGCCCAGTTGGTAGGTGCCCTCGAGTTAAGTAATTCATAGCATCCCTATGAACAAAAGACCTGAACCCTATACTGTCCTGTGCCATCCTCACAATTCCAGACAAACAAGAGCCCATTGCATCAGTAACCTTGTCAGTCCACCTAGTTGACGATCTTTCTCTCCTTTGCTGATCCTCCACCCTAGCCAGCATCATGTCCTTCTCCAAGCAGTAGCCTTTCCTAGCAACATGCCCAAAGTATGTGAGGCAAAGCCTCATCCTTCTTGACTCCAAAGAATATTCTGCCTTCAACCTTTCCAAGACATATTTGTTCTCTTGGCCGTCCATGGATTATTCAGTGCTTTTCTCCAACATCACAGATCAAAGGTGTCAATTCTTTTTCTGTCATCCTTATTCATTGTCCAGCTCTTAGATGCATAGCAATTGATCAGAAAAATCATGGCTTGAATCAGATGAATTTTAGTGCTCACACTGACATTATTATTCCTCAGTAATTTGGAGAGGTCCCTAACTGCAGATTTTCCCAGTGCAGTGTGTCTCTTTATTTCCTGACTACTGGTACCAAGGATGTTAATTGTGGATCTAAGTAATATGAAGCTGTTGACAGTTTCCATATCCTCTCCCTCCATCATGACTTCCTATCAGTCTATTGGTAAGAATCTTTGTTTTCTTGACATTGAGATATAATCCAAATTGAAGACTGCATTCTTTCTTCTGTAGTATTCTGTAAACTTTTGTTTACGAGATCCTTGTCAGAGATGGTATTGCCAAATGCGTTTTCCCAGTCAGTAGTTTTTCTTTTCATTCAGTTGGAAAAAGTTTTTGATATGCACCAGTATTTAATCATTAGAAAGTTTTATTCATCAGTTTTATCCTCTTTAGATTGTACAATTTCTGGCTGTATTTCGCAGTGTCTTTTTACCATAGGCTAAGCCTTCTAAGTGGAAGGAGGAGTGGCATCCACTTCCATAATAGCTTGCCTCCGGAAACCCCATGAACTTGGAGAAAGGATAAAAGGCACCCAAGCGTCAAGGACTCTCCTTCATAGGATCGCTATGAGTCGCCTGCGACTCGACGGCACTTAACAACAACAAAGCCTTCTAAGTTTGGCCTTAGTTTGTCTCTTGAGCACTTTATGGCTTTATGCTTTACTACAAGATCTCTCATTCACCTTGAGTTGATTTTTGTGAACGGTGTGGATCCTGTTTCAGCTTTCTGCAGGTAGCAGTCCAGTTTTGCCAGCACTATTTGTTGAAGAGTCTGTCATTTCCCTATTTGATAGGTTTTATCTCCTTATCTAATATCACTTGACCATAGATAGCTGTGTTCATTTCTGGGCTCTTGATTCTGAGCCTTTGTACTATATGCCTGTAATTGTACTAGAACCATGCTGGCTTGGTTACTACTGCTGTGTAGTAGATCTTGAGGTCAGGGAGTATTATGCCTCCCACTTTGTTTTTCAGAGTGCTTTGTTAAATAAATACAGGGTCTCTTTCTGCTCCAAAGAAATTTGACAATTTCCCTTTCAAACTCCTTGAAGAATGAATTTGGTATCTGCATTAGGATTGTGTTGAACATGTAGATTACTTTTGATAGGATTATCATTTTCACCATGTTGAGGCTTCCTATCCATGAGCAGGGAACATTTTTATGTATACTCAGTCATCAAAAACTCAAACTCATTACTGTGGAGTAAGAGCTGACTCATAGCTGATCCCCCAGTGGATTTTTTTGAGGCTGTAAATTGTACATAGTAAATTGCCTAGTTTTCTCCTTGGTGCTACAAGTGAAGTAGAACTGCCTGAAAGTATTACTTTTGGGTTAACAGTACAACTCTTTATGAATTGCTGCATCAGAGCTCATAATTATGAATATTAATACAAATGAAAGTAAAAGCTTATAACCAAACAATTCAATTTCACATAGTTTTTGCGGCAACAGTTCCTTATGTGTTATTGGAGAGTGCAATTTTTAACACCAGCCCACAGCAAAGTGTGAAAGACTGGCAAATATGTCATTATGAAAATTCTGCTTTTCCCTAAATAGTTTACTAATACATTTTGTTGTTGGTTGCCTTCGAGTCAAACACAACTCATAGTGACCCTATGAACAGAAGGCCTGAAACTCTTCTACAACAATTGAAATTTATCAAAGTTCATGGAGTTTCTGGAGGCTTGTTAGTTAGGAAGTAGATGCCACTCCTGCTTCCAAACTAATACATATTAGGATCTAAAAAAGGAAACAAAGCCTGTCTAAGCAGTTATTACATACATGAACTCTTTTCTTTATGATGATGCTTTCTTCACCTATTTTTTTAAAAAATATATAATCTTTCAGAGCTTCTTCTTGTTGTTGCTAGGTGTCATCAAGCCTACTCAAGGTGACACTGTAATCAGTGAATCAGAACCCTTCCCTCACCTGTGTCATCTTCGTCATCTCTGATATACTTAAGCCCATTGTTACAGTTGTTGTGTTCATCCCTTTTGTTGAAGACCACCTTCTCTTTTGCTGACCCTCCATTTTTCCAAGCATGATGCCTTTTCCCAAGGATTGCCTCCCCCCCAACATGCCCAAAGTATGTGAGACAAAATTTCACCATCCTTTTCCTTTAAGGGGCACCTTGAGTTTACTTTTTTAAGAAATGTTTGTTTGCTCTTTTGATAATCCATAGGATAGTCAGGACTTTTCAGTAACATCAAAACTCAAAGGCATCAATTGTTCTTCTGTCATCCTTATTCATTGCCCAACTTTGAGATGTATAGCATTTAAGTAGATCAGGAGCACTTTAGAATCTTTAATTACCAAATTTTGAAGTAAGTATACAAATAGAATAGGAAGTGAAATGAAGCCTTGCATTTCCTTTTCTACATTAGATTAGATTTGATGAAGAAATGAGAAATATGAGATTTTTGTTTTGACACCAAATAATTAGTAAATAAAAAGTTCATGAAAGTGGTACATCATAATATCATGTGGGTTTTCTGTGTTTTATTGTTGTTTTTCAGTGTTTTGGTTCATAGTTGACTATATATTTAAAATTTTTGAAAAGTACGTTTTAAAAAAATTGACTGGATAAAGGGGTAAACTTCTGGTTACCATGCATGCAGGCAGGTACCAGGAGGAACATTCATCAGTGACCACTGATAGGCTGACTTCTCTTGAGAATGTGCCCATTAAGGGAAGAGACATAGAAGGAAACCTGAACAATCCTGATTTTCATGTTCTTTAATGCCAGTTCTTCACATGGAAGGAGGGAGAATTTTCCAGAAAATTACTTCAAACTAGTTTCTGTTGAATTCCATAGATCTATTACTTTTCCGTATAAAATCAGAGATGCAGTCTCTTGGGGGGAAATGAAAAAAACTAGATAATCACTGGAAAGTTAAGACAATTATTTTCAGCAAATAAAGACACTACTTAGAATTTTACATGTCTTTTACATTTTAACACTAAACAGTTTATATGTTAAGACATTAAAATAATAAAAAGGATGTTTTATATAGCTCTGGATGCCAACAGAGAGCTACAGATTCATAAAATAATATTAAGAATATAATTGAGGGATAATTAAATAACTGAATAAAATGCTATGTACTTTGATTTGCCTCTTTCTTACTTCCTAACAGAGAAGATTGGGTCTGAAAACCCTGGGCTGTGGGAAGTATGTACATATTCCTTCTGGGTGGATTGAAGCAGTATATCTGGCTCAGTGCAAGGGAGATATCCAAGATGGTAAGTGCTCAAACCAAGTTATTGATTACATTGTTTCCTAGATTAGCAATGAAGGCAAAATTTGAGAACCCTAACTTCTAGAAATTGTGCAGGAGCCATGAAAAATGTGCCTTTCTCCAGCAAAGTTTCTTACAGTGTTTCATTATGAGAGTTCCTTTTGTGATTTTGAATTTATAAATTTGCCTACTCGTTTGCTAGTTACAAAATAATGTTGAAGCTCTTCCTTCCACATAATGTGGAAAAAAGGCCTCTTCAAGGCCTAAAATCAGTTAACTAGGCTTCTAGTCCCTGCTAAGAATTTGTATTTTTGCCCCAGATTCTACTGGATCAGAACCTACATTTTAACAAGATCTCAGGTGTTTTCCACCCCCGCTTCTTTTAATTATTTTCTTTTCTTATTGGCTTTTTATAATAGGTTTTGTTTTATTTCATAACAATAATTACTATTGGACAATGGTGTTATTTACAATGTCCTATGGAAACCTCTTTTTTTCTGTCCCCTTCTTCCCTCTCCCTATTTGATCAGCTATACCTGTCCTCTCCCCTTCCTCAATCTGTTATAGTGTCCGCTGTTTATTCTATCCAGCTCTTCCTATTTCCCTCAACCATCCTATTTTATTTAAAGTATTTGTCCTTTTGTGACTGAGTTATTTCACTCTGCATAATATCCTCTCGACTTATTCATGTTGTATAGTGTATAACAAGTTCATTGTTTTTTAATGCTGTATAATATGCCATTGTATGAATGTAGTGAAATTGCTCTATCCATTCCTTAGTTGAAAGGCACATAGGCTGTTTCCATTACACTGTGAATAATGCTGCAGTAAACATAGGTGTGTACGTGTATCTGTTCATATCTTAGTTCTGATTCTATTAGGATATATTTTCAGTAGTGGGAATAATTTTATCTCCTCTTTGCTAAATTGGATACATCTTATTTTCTTTTGCCTTAATAAGTTCTAACCAGGACTTCCAGTATAGTATTGAATAGCAGTGGTGATAGTATCCTTGCCTGTTCCCTATTCACAAGGGGAATGACTTTAGTCTTTCTCCACTGAAGATGATGTTGGCTATTGGTTTTGTGTTGAGAAAACCCCCCTCTATTGCTATTTTATTGAGTGTTTTAATGAAGAATGGATGGTGGATTTTATATAAGGCTTTTTCTGCATCAATTGAGAGGATCATGTGGTTCTTGTCTTTTGCTTTATTTGTTAAAATATTTTTATTTTATATTGGTTTGCTTATAAAGTTCATATACATTGTGTTTCACACTATCCTTAATTCACATAGTGTTTCATACATTTATTGTCATCCATTATGTTTTATAAAATTAATCACCATTGATGTGATGGATTGCATTTTATGTTTAACCATCCTTGCATGCCTGTTAGAAATCGCATTTGAAAAAAAAATTTAAAAAAAAGGAAATCGCATTTGATCAGAAGGCCTTGATTCTTTTCATGTATTTTGAATTTTATTAGCTAGGATTTTGTTAAGGATTTTTACATCAATGTTTATGAGAGACATTTGTTTATAGTTTCTGGTTTGATTATACTATTAACTGGTCTTGGTATAAGGTTTATGCTTATTTCATAGAATGAATCTGGGGATGTTCCTTCTTTCTTTATATTTTGAAATAGTTTAGGAAAAATTGGTGACCAAAGAATTCCTTCCTGATTATTTGGTAGAATTCACTGGTGAAGCCATCTGGGACAGGATTTTTGTTGTTCTTGGGAGTTTTTAATGACCTGTTTAATTTCTTCTTTTTGGATAGGTTTGTTCAAGTGTTTTATTACAGTCTGTGTAAATTTGGGTAGGGTGTGCAGTTCTAAGAATTTTTCTATTTCTTCTAGATTTCTAAATTGTTAGAATCATCTATTCATAATATTCTATTATTATCCTCTTTCTTTCAGTTGTTTCTCTGTTATGATGTCACCCATTTATTATATTGTTCAGATTAATTGTGTCTTTTCTGTCCTTTCCTTTGTAAGATTTGCCAATGATTTACCAATGTTATAAACCTTTTCAAAGATCCTTGTCTTGTTGATAATTTCAATTGTTTTTCTGTTTTCTGTTTCATTTACTTCTTCCCTTATCTTTGTAATCTCATTTCTTCTAGAGATTGTCTGGTTTTCTTGCTGGTCTTTCTTTTATTTGTTGGAGATTTTGAGGTAAGTAGTTATGTTAAAATTGCCATATGCAATTTTATTGAATTGTAGTCTGAGAGGATGCTTTGTAATATTTCAGTGTATTTGAATTTATCAAGGTTTGTTCTGGGTCCTGCAGTCAATCTTGGACAATGTATCATTTTTACATTGTTGCTGGCTACCTTTTTTTCTTTGCTGTCTCTGTGAAGAACTTTTTTTATTTCTTATAAAGTTGGTCTTGTTTTCATGAATTCTTTCAATTATATTTAATTCTTTTTTCAATTTTTATATTATTTCTTCATTTTTTATGGTTTTGCTTATTGCTATGACCTTCCCTCTCTCTGAGTATTGCCTTTGCTGTAACCCAGAGGTTTTGAAACATTGTGTTTTCACTTCTATTTGCTTCAAGAAACCTGCTAATTTCATTTTTTTATAACCCAGTAGTGATCAATAAAGCTGTTATTTAGCTTCTATGTGGATGTTTTTTCCTCCTTCATTCTCTTGTTAATATATACTTTTATAACAGTGTAAGCTGAGAAGGTGCTTTATAGCATTTCAGTAGTTTTGAATTTATTGAGACTTGTTTTATGCCCATACATACATATGGTCAGTTCTGTAGAATGTATAGGGTGCACTTGAAAAGAATGTAAATTGGGCCTTTATTTGGTGATATCCTCTGTATATGTCTGTGAGGTTGTTAATTGTATAGTTTCATTTTCCTGCTTATTTGCTGGTTTCTTTCTAGTTGTCCTTTTCAGTGAGAATGATGTGTTAAAGTCTTCTACTATTATAGGATTGTCTGTGTCTTTGTTTGGTCTACTTATATATGTTTCATGAAGTTTGCAGCTCTATCATTCTTTTACTATGTATTGGGAATTGTTTGTGTAAAGGTATAAATAGTTATTTCCAGCCACCCTAAGCAAAAAATTCTCTGGTCAACCAATACCAAATCCTTGTAGTACTGCTCCCCTGATCAATTAAGTTTCCCTTTCCTAGTAAATTAAATAGCGTTCTGATGTCTTGACAGAAAAGAATTGCATTGCTAATCGAAAGACATATGTTTTGAATCTATCGGCTGTTCGATGGAAGGAACAGGGGCAGTCTCCTCCCATTTGATTAATGGCCCCTGAAAATTCACTGGAGGCTCAACTACGGGTCATTTCCAAATTGAAGGAACATGATATGACATCATTCAGCACATAGATATTAATTAAGATTATGCCTTCTTGTTCTATTATGCCTTTAAGCATATATAAGCTCCTTCCTTTTTCTTTATGTTTATTTTAACCTTGAAGTCTATGTTATCAGAGATTGGTATTGACCCTTTTGTTTTGTGTTTTCTTTTGGTTGCTTCTGCTTGTTAATTTTTTATTTCTAAGTCCATTTTCACCTCATTCCTTAAATGTGTCTTTTATGGACAGGATATTGATAATTTTTCCTTTTTTAATCCATTTTGCTATTATTTTTCTTTTAAATGGTGTATTTAAGCCAATTTCACACAATTTAGTGTGATTATCAATTGTTGTTGTTATGTACCATTGAGTTGATTGCAACTCAAAGTGACCTCATGTACAATAGCGCTGAAATCTACTCTATCCTGTGCCAACTTTACTGTCTCTGACACACGTACCCTCATTACCCTAGTCACTAAATCAATCCGTCTCATCGATGGTCTCCCTCTCTTTCTCTGTCCCTCTACCCTCCCAAGCATGACATCCCTCTCCAAGGACTGTTCCTTCTTTGCAACATTCCCATAGTATGTCAGATGAAGTTTCAGAATCCTTGCCTCCAAGGAGCAGCCTGGTTTCACCCACTCTAGGACGAACCTGTTTGTTCTTCTGGGAGTTAATAGTGTATTCAGTACTCTTCTCCAGCACTATGGCTCAAAGGCAAGATTTTACTTATAACATTTTGTTGAGTTGTTGCTGTTGTCTTTAGTCTATCCATTTCTGTGAAGGATTTCCTTTAGTTTTTCTTATTAACTTGGTCTTGTTTTCATTGATTTCTTTCATTTCAGCTTTTCTGAGAATGACCTAATTTCCCCTGCATAATTTATGGACAGTTTAACTAGCTGCAGGGTCTTTTGTTGACCCTTCTTTTCTTACAACCTTTTGTATTTGCCATTTTATGAACTTCTTACTCACATAGTTTCCACTGAGAAGTCTGAGTTTAATTTTATTGACTCTTTTTTGTAGGTAACTCTTTGTTTTTCTTAAGGTCCTTTTAATATTCTATCCTTATCTTTGATTTTAGAAAATTAGACTATGATATGTTTTGATGTTTTTCTTTGGAGGTTTATCCTGCTATTAGAAAGATCACTACTTGGAAAAGGTCATTATGCTTGGAAGGATGGAGGGTCAGTGAAAGAGAGCAGGACCCTCTAAAAGATAGATTGACAGTGGATGGAGAAATGGGCTTGAGTATCTTAGGGCTTGTGAGGATGGGGCAGGACAGGACACGGTTCAAGTCTGCCATTCATAATGTCACTGTTAATCCTCTTTGGAGTTCACTCAGCTTCCTGAATGTATATTTTCTTATTTTTTATGATACCAGAAATTTTTCTTCTTCTACTTCTTCTACCACTTTTTCAGTATTCTCCTTTTTTCTTATCTGGAATTCTAATCATTTGTATCTCTTTCCCTCCCCTTCCTTATCTAGAATTCTCATCACTTGGCTTCCAATCACTTATATCTCTCTTTTTTTAAAAAATAATTTTAATGAGCATTTACAGAGATTTTTGGATTTCCATTCATTCATTGCTGCACTTCTCTCCCTGCCCAGCTCTCCCCTGCCCAGCCCTCCGCCCCCCCCCCCCCCCCCCCCCCCCCCGCCCCCAGTTCGTTCCTCTCTTTC